CAAAAAAGAAATTAATTTAGAAATTAGCGAATCGACGCCGACTGGGACTGTGTTTTTGCTTGATAGTGCAGCTGATCCTGACGTAGGGACAAACTCACTGCAGAGTTATTCTTTAAAAGCAAACGAACATTTTGTTCTCAAACAACATACTCGAGCAGATGGGAGTAAATATGCCGAAATGGTGCTTCAGAGTGGTTTGGACCGCGAGAAGCAAAGCAAACATGCGCTCATATTAACGGCTGTCGATGGTGGCGAGCCGCAGATGTCCGGAACGGTAAAAATACACATATCTGTGCTGGATGCAAATGACAACTCGCCCGTTTTTACACAGTCCATATACAAAGCCTCTGTATTGGAAAATGCTTTACGAGGCACAATTATTGCCACAGTCAGTGCAGTAGACGCTGACCAAGGTTACAATGGTAACGTTACATATTCATTCACACACCTAGAAGATGGTTCCGCTTGTCCTTTTGAAATAAATTCCAACATAGGTGAGATTAAACTAGTCGGGGATATCGATTATGAGGCTTCTCCAAATTACGAGATAAACCTCCAAGCAAAAGATCCATGGGGTGTCACAGGAGCCAGCAAGTTAGTGATCGAAATAGTAGATGAAAATGATAACAGTCCAGTAATCACAATGGCTTCCTATTCGGGGAAGATTTCAGAAGATTCTCCTCCTGGCACAGTTGTGGCGTTAATTAGTGTCCAAGATAAAGATTCTGGAAAAAACGGACAGGTGCATTTAACTATAGATGAACATCTGCCTTTCAAAATTAAATCTTCCCTCAGAAACTATTATACATTAATCACTGCGCAAACTCTCGACCGAGAGAAGCTTCCCACATACAACATTACTCTCACTGCCACTGATGAGGGCTTCCCAGTCATTATCGAACAAAAAATCCGTCTATTTAGAAGTTAGCGATATTAATGACAACGCTCCAGTTTTTAGTCAAAGTCTTTACAGCGCTCAGGTAACGGAAAACAATTCTCCAGGTGTCCCTCTGTTGCAGATTAGTGCTACTGATTTGGACCAGGGCCAGAATGCACGTATATCATATTTTCTTTTTGAAGACGAGCTGAATGGAAATCCGGTATCCGCATATTTCTCCATTAATACAGAAAGTGGAGTCATTCAGTCTCTGCGTTCACTGGACTATGAACAAGTCAAAGAGTATCAAATACGAGTTAAAGCACAAGATGGTGGGTCACCCCCACAAAGTAGTAACACATCAGTTATTGTACATGTACAGGACCAGAATGACAACCCTCCTCAGGTTCTGTACCCAGTCCAGACTGGTGGCTCTCTGGTGGCTGAAATGGTGCCTCGTTCAGCAGATGTGGGCTATCTGGTGACTAAAGTGGTGGCTGTTGATGTGGACTCTGGACAGAATGCCTGGCTCTCCTATAAACTGCAGAAAGCCACAGACAGGGCGCTGTTTGAAGTGGGCTTACAGAATGGAGAAATCAGAACTATCCGCCAAGTCACTGATAAAGATGCTGTCAAACAAAGACTGACTGTTATAGTGGAGGACAACGGGCAGCCCTCTCGTTCAGCTACAGTCATTGTTAACGTGGCGGTGGCGGACAGCTTCCCTGAAGTGCTGTCGGAGTTCACTGAGTTGACCCACGACAAGGAGTACAATGACAACCTGACTTTTTACTTAGTCTTGGCTCTGGCTGTAGTTTCCTTCCTCTTCATCACGTGTTTAGTGGTTATTATATCAGTCAAAATCTACAGGTGGAGACAGTCTCGCATCCTGTATCACTCCAACCTGCCTGTCATTCCATATTATCCACCACGTTACTCAGACACTTTGGGGACAGGGACTCTGCCACATGTGTACAATTACGAGGTGTGCAGGACGACTGACTCCAGAAAGAGTGACTGTAAGTTCGGCAGAGCTGGTAGTCAGAACGTGCTGATAATGGACCCCAGTTCTACAGGAACGATGCAGCGGATACAGAGTGAAAAGAGCATCCTGGATGAACCAGACTCTCCTCTAGAGGTTTGTTTATGTTTTACATTTGGGCGCTTGTGTGTCAGTAATCTAGCATTGCTAATAAATAGTTTTAAACTACACTTTTGCTGTAACAGTCATGAAGAGAATTTCTTCTATCATTCTGTCTGTAAACAGTATCTGTCTGTAAAACAAAGTGTAACAATAGCTCCTCATTTGAAGATGGTTATACAATTTCACCGACTCTACTCAAGACAAAGTAAATCACACTGACAAACAAACCTTCTATTTCTCTTGCCGGTCTCTACACATTACACATCACCAGCGAATAGCCCCCCCCCCCAATAAGTGCAATAACTCAGACCTTGGTTAGTATGGATGACGCTGGAAACTTTGTAGGATACAGTGCAAGCATCACGTCTCACTGAGATGGATTATATTGGCTCTGTGTGAACACTAAATCTAATATATATCTATATATTTTCATCAAATGACAATGTTTGTTTTCATGCAGGGTTAATATAATTACGTCTAAATACTGTAGTAGTTGCATTCTGAAATGGAAACGGCTCCACTGTCCTGTCACTGTCCTTGGTGCTGAAGTGCTTTGCTCTGAGATGCAGTCGTCATTATTATCGTTGAGATTTCTAAGACTTTGAAGAGGCCATTCATTTAGGATCCACTTGTATGTTTTATTTATAATGCAGTTAATTATATAAATAATAACTCTGTCCCTGTAATGTTTCACATTGCCGAAGAAAGTGGTGAGGTATCCTTAACTGGAAACCTTGATTATGAAAAGGCACAGCTCTATGAAATACATATACAGGGTAGTGATGATGGGGGACTAACAGATTCAGCTAAAATTCTTGTTGAAGTAACCGACATAAACGATAATCACCCATCTATTAATATAATGTCTAAAACAAATTCCGTAACAGAAAATTCAAGGCCAGAAACAGTTGTAACAATTTTCAATGTTCAAGATCCCGACTCTGGTGAAAATGGCAAAGTAGCATGTAATATCGAAGGACATGTGCCATTTCTGATCAAATCAACATCTAAAAAGTTCTTTAGCCTAGTTACAGACAGTGATTTAGACAGAGAGAGAGCCTCTAACTATAACATCACTGTGACCTGCTCTGATGAGGGAGTGCCCTCCCTCTCCAGCAGCGTCACTCTCACATTACAGATCTCTGACATAAATGACAACGCACCTGTCTTTGAGAGGAGCACAATTACGAGGTGTGCAGGACGACTGACTCCAGAAAGAGTGACTGTAAGTTCGGCAGAGCTGGTAGTCAGAACGTGCTGATAATGGACCCCAGTTCTACAGGAACGATGCAGCGGATACAGAGTGAAAAGAGCATCCTGGATGAACCAGACTCTCCGATAGAGGTTTGTTTATGTTTTACATTTGGGCGCTTGTGTGTCAGTAATCTAGCATTGCTAATAAATAGTTTTAAACTACACTTTTGCTTTAACAGTCATGAAGAGAATTTCTTCTATCATTCTGACTGTAAACAGTATCTGTCTGTAAAACAAAGTGTAACAATAACTCCTCATTTGAAGATGGTTATACAATTTCACCGACTCCACTCAAGACAAAGTAAACACACTGACAAAAACTTTATCTTTGCGTTATACATAATCAGCGAATAGCCCCCCCCCCAATAAGTGCAATAACTCAGACCTTGGTTAGTATGGATGACGCTGGAAACTTTGTAGGATACAGTGCAAGCATCACGTCTCCGGTTGATTATATTGGCTTGTGTGAACACTAATATATATATATTTTTTTTTTTT